CTGATCCACCCCCTGGCCCACCCCCTGAAATTGGGTCTGTGTGCATTTTGGGACCCTCTCTTCATCAACCTTCATCATCTTCGGGGTACAGAGAGCAGAGTCACCCAGTTCTTTGACTCTGTCCTGCGCTTTAGGCCAAGATACAAGCGTTCCCCAAACAGAACAGGATTGCCTTGACAAGAGACTAAACATCTTCTACTGGATACGGGGGTAAGGCTGATATAGGGTGTATGGAATGGGGTAAGAGGGTTAAGGAATGGGTGCTACAGGGAAGAAGAGGGATAAGGGGCTGCTTTTAAAATCTACTTCTATTACTTATAAAACTTTACAAAAATTAGAAAAATAAAAGCTAATAGGGGCTTAAGGCATCAGTATCATGAGTTAAGGGTGGAACTAACAGTAAAGAAAATTATCTCCCGTTCAGCTCTGCTTCTGCCATGAGCTGGGAGCATATGGGCAGTACAGTTTCTGGACTGTAAAAGAAAGACAGATTTGAGATTACTGTGTTCAGTCCCAACAGACAGAGAGGAATATGGACCAGTATTTACTAACTTTCCTCTCCTTTCCTTCCAAATTATCAATTCTTCTAGTCCAGCTCCACGTTCTTTTTTTTTAAACTCCTCCTCTTCAAATCTGACCCAGGGAAACTTTCCTCCCATAATCGACGTAGGAGGATTAGCAGCAAGAGTAGTGTTGACGGTCATTTGTTTGCAGTTTTAGTGCCTGGGAAGCAACTGAAAGGAAAATTGATCAAAGAAGAGTCTGTGCTTGTTGCTGTGTGTGCTAGTTGTGTGAGAGCTGTTCAATGAGTTCAGGAGCTGGTTGAGTATAGTCAAGATAGAAAATAAGCAGGGGTCACAGATACCAAATCCTTATAAGTCTTTGCTGAAATCAACTTTTGACAACATGCTCCCTGATGAGGTAATACCTTAACACAGAAGGGCATTCCAAGTGATATTAAATATGCTTTATCTCTTCCTCTTTCATAAAATCACAGAATCAGGTTGGATGGGACCTTGAAAGGTCATGTGGTCCAATCTTTCATGGAAAAGAGAGCCTAGATGAGGTTATGTAGCACCTTGTCCAACTGTTTGTTGGAAAACCTCCAACAATGATGTCTCTACCACATCCCTGAGGAGGTTGTTCCAGCGATAAGTTGCTCTCCCAGGAAAAAAATACTTTCTTATATGGACAAGAAACTTGTCCCTGTGCAACTTGTAACAGTTGATCCTGGTGAAGAGAGAACCTCCATTCTCTTTGTAGTTACCCTTTAACTACTGGAGTACTGTGACATGGTCCCCTCTGAACCTTTTCCTGCTGGCAGAAAAGACCTTGTTCCTTCAGTCTTTCCTCATAGGCAGGTTCTCCAGCCTTCTGACCAACTGTGTGGCCCTCCTTTGGGCCCTATCCAGTCTGTCCACATCTTTTTCGAATTGTAGGGACCACAGCTGCACACTGCATTCTGGGTGTGGTCTGAGAAGTTCTGAGCAGAGTGGGATCCCATCTCTGTTCCTGCTAGCAATGTCCCTGTGGATGCAGCCCAGGATCTGATTTGTCTTCATTGTGGCAGCAGTGCACTGCTGACTCCTGTCCAGCCTGACCCAGGTCCCTTTCAGCAAGGCTGATCTCCCACCACACAAATCCTGGCCTGTGCCGGGCTCTTTCAGTTTTGAATTCCACCTTCAGGACATCACACTTGTCTTTGTTAAAATTCATAGAGTGCTTGCTAATCCGCTCTTTCAGCCTGTCCATGTCACTCTGTAAGATGGCTTTTCCTTCTGATGTGTCCACCTTACCATGCAGTTGTCATCATCAAACTTGATAAGAGTTCTTTCAGTCTCATTATCCAGACCATTTGGGAAGATGTTGAACAGTATGGGGCCCAGTATTGATCCCTGGGGGATCTCACTTGTGACAGGCTGGTAAAAACCATTGATCACCACCTTATAAATGCAGCCTGTGAGCAAATTTCCTACCCATCTCACAGACTGCCCATCAAATTTGTACCTTGCCAGTTTTTCCAGGAGAAGACATCAGAAAAGCACCAAATGCTTTGCTGAAGTCCAGTCTTTATTGTACCTCTGCCTTAGTCAGCATTCAAACCTCAAAGTATCCCAGAAACAATGCACCTCTTCAACATTTTTCATTTTCATCTTTCTGTTCTGCACAAAAAAACCCTGCAACTGTAAAGACTGGTGCTTTCTCATCTACCTTTAACTTAAAGGTAAGGCATCAAGTCTACTTAGGCATCTTTTATTTAATTATCAATATAATTTTAACTTTAAGTGAATAGTAAATACATCTGAAATTTAAAGTAGAAAAATGAACTTTTAGGTGAAGGCAGGTATTTTTAACTCTATTTTTCACAGCTATTTGGAAAAATCTTCTAGAAAATAGGCTTCCTTGTTCTGTGATACATATGCAGAAATCTGTCTTGCTCTTCAATCCGTTTTTCATCATGAAGTTGATGTTTTTTGCCTTAGGTGTACAATCAATCCCCAACTTTCTAGTCATAGAATAAATGAGGTTGGAAGGGATATCTGGTGGGCATCTAGTCCAGCCCCTGCTTGAAGCTGTCCAGGTAAACCAGGCTGGTCAAAGATTTACTAAGTTTTTAATATTCCCATTGATGGAGATTCTCTGCACTACTTCAAATATTTTACCATGGTCACAGTTAAAATATTTTTCCTTGCATGTAATTCATGGTCAAATATAAATATGCCGCTACACAGTTTTCCTGGAAAAAAAGGCAAAGGAAAAGATCTTACAACTCACTAGCATCTCCTCTACTGAAGCAGCCATTTTTCTACGTGTGTGCTTTTTCAAGTCCAATACAATGAGATGCTGCAACTGCCTTCAGCAGTATTTCTGTCTTGTGAAATAGCCAGTAGCTACTTTTTGTTATGATGGAAAAAACTGACTTTTAATATTCACAAATCCACGCATTCACACAGATACTAACTAGCATCACTATGTAGTCTGTTGGAATTAGTCCAGGATAACACCTTCAGGTCGTACATCTGTAGCACCAGCAGAGTAAGCTGAATACACACATAGCTTTGCAGAGCAAAAAGAACAAGTTTTCACTTCCTGTTTTCATGGTTTATTCTAAAGCAAAGTATCATGCAGTCAGTCCACACAGAGCTGAGGTATTTAGGTTTCTAACTCTCTAGGCATCTTAGTACCTCAAACCTCAAGCTTTGTTCCAATCTCCTCAGTATGTATTTTTTTCCGTTGGAGTTGGAATGAACCACAGATCACCATTGTAAACCATCCTTTAAAAGCACAGTGAGGTCTCATCTGTTTTCTTCTGATATCGGGAAGCCCTTGTTACACTCAAGACATAATCTCACCAGCCAGAGGTTCGAGAGACGAAGTTTTCCTTTGCTTCAATCTGTGCCATGCTCCATCACATCATGTCACAGCTGAGACATTGCTTTGACTCCACTTCTTCCTTTTCTCCTTCCTTCAAGTCAGCCTATGATCTCTTTTAACTGTTTCTTAAGCCTCTCATAAAACCTTTAGCAGATTAAATAGGATTCTCTGAAACATGGAATCAAAAATATTTCCATGCCTTTTTTCTATCCTGTATGCACATGTAGAGTACTTTCTACCACATATAGACTTGACATCTACTGCTTTGACAAAAGGAAACATAAATCTCACTTTTGAAAAGACTATGTTTACTACAGAATTTTATGTCTTAACAAAAAACTCTAGTAGAGAAAGATGAACTTTTAAAATAGATAGATCTCTAAAACTTCCCAGTAAAATACTCAGTATTTTATACTGCTTTTTATTTTCAGATAAAATGCCTTCCTGAATCAACTTCAGCAGCTAAAGATGGGCAGTATTTAATGTAAGCTTGAACAAAGTTCCATACTTGTGAATATATTTTAGTGTTGACATTTAAAATTGAAGAATTAACTCGTATCAATTTTGTTTATTTGTAGACTCTTCTGTGCATCACATCACCATACGGACTCTGACCACCTCTCAGAAGTCATAAATACAGTTGAGGTGATGAAATGATTACAGAGTTTATCAACTATTAAAACTGTTTTGTAGCTCAGTTAAGATCTAAAGCTGCATTTTTATCACTTCCTTCTGTAACATATTTATGATAACAGATGAGAGTGCTTTTCACAGCATGACCACAGAAAAATCATTGCAAATTACGTATGTCAGAAATGGACTCTGGTCTTCAGTAGTGCTAAATGTCTGCAACTTCCATCAGCTTCAGCTGATGGTGAGGATGACATCTGCCTGAACATTGAGTTTTAAGACTAGAATTCCTTCGAACCCATATGGGTAACTGTAAGTTGGATAATCAGTGAACAATCATCTCATACAAAGCACGTGAGTGTCACCCTACTGTATCTCTGTCTACATGACTGTAAAGGGGGTCTGGAGTGACCAGCTCATTTACTGGCATCTCCACTGGAGTGGTCTAAAGTTAAATGAGAATTATTTCATTTTCTGTCCCAAATTAGCACCCAAAAAATGAAAATCTATAGCCCATTTCCAGAGCTGCAGGCTACAGGAAGACGATGGAAGAGGTAGGACATGACTGTCCTGATTTTTTGTCCAATCACAGGTAGCATATTGTCCACTCCTTCACCTCATTTATAATACAAAATCTTCAGTTTGAATTCGTCCTTGTCCATGATTGCTGACTTCTGTTACCCTTTCATAAGCATATCATATCTATATTGTCCTATGTGGCAAATAAAAGGTCTTTTCAGCGTCAAACTGATGAGACCCACAGTCATTAGTTATAAGAGACCAAAAATAAAGATGAGCTGAATATAGCAAATAGGAATTATTTGGGTATCAACTATCACCTCAAAATAGCAGAAGGCATGGTTGCTGAGAGAATGAGATACAAATATAGTTTAGAAACCTTATATAGTTTTATAAATAACTAGATAAGTTTATATATAGATAGCTATTAAATACGTTTGTCACTATAAGGAGCTCTCTCTGCTTCTCTCCATAGAGAGAGGAACAATTGTGAGACAGCACACTAATATGGGGTAGTCATAAAATTTTAATGTCTTATATCTGAAGCACTTTTATTGATCCTTAGATTTCTGGGTATTAGTGATTTCAGTGGCCTTCCCAAATGGAGCACACTGGCTCTCCAAATTTCCACTGTCACAATGTGGTTAAGGAGCACTTCCTTTATAGTACTTGTAGTCTGTGTGTGCATTTTCTCTATTTAGCAGGGCTGCACAGTCTGATAGGTATCCCGAATTTGTAAAGACACATGAAATTTTGTGATTTTTAAAAAGAAAATTTATTTTGTCTTTCTAGGTCAACGTTTTAAATGCAGATTTCAGCTACAAAAGCTACATCACTGACAACTATGAATATGGATACTTGGAATTACAAGGTTGACATCAATGGCTGTATTAATATAAGTGAATAGTGTACACAAAAAGGACCAAATGTGTGAAAAAAATCAAAATATTATTTAGAAAAATGTTTAAGCAAAATATCTTCATGTGTATTATGTGACGTCCTACTTTTTTAATTTTAATAAATTTTACATCATTTTATACAGTGTAACAATATAACATGGTAATCTTCAAGGTTAGGCCTCAGAGAAGCTTGCCTTAAAATGAAATTTAAAAAAATTCCAATACTTGAAGCATATTCTATTTTGCTAGAAATGTATTCAAACTACCTAATGACATTGTTATTGCTTTGGGGCTTTTTGAAAGGAATTATGGAATTCCTTTATGGTACCTATAGCTACTGTAGTTGAATCTTTCCAATCATGTTTGCAAACATAGACACCAATCATTCAATTTCATTTTTTTCATGCTCTGTGTATCACTTGAGAAAGTTTTTGTGGGTTTTATTTACTCATTATGCTTGAGTAATGGTTGCTATTTGCTTTAAATTAAGTATACACACATACCACCATATTTTTAAGTGAATAAAAATATTTTGGTCATCTAAGATAAATTCATAAAAGTGAGCTAAAATGAATCAAAAATCACAACTCTAAAAATACCCTATTTGGGACCTTTTAGAAAGCAACAGAAACAATAGACTGTGACATAGAAGACTAACAAAACAATGTAAATACAGACTCTGCAATGTGAAAAAAGTTTTATTTCAGGCAAAAAACCCACAACCAGTAGGCCTGATAATATATTCATTGAAAAGCAAAGAATAAAGAAAATTATAATAATAATAAAAAGAGCATCTCAGAAGCAAAGACTGCTAAATAATCAGATAATCAAATGTGAACTTTAACACCTTTTTTTTTTAATTGAATGTTCCTAATGTACTTTCTATTAGGAAGAATACCACCAGACAAACACTCTTTAAGAAAATTGTACTTTGGCTGAAGGCTGAGACCAAGAAGAATTGTAGTTCTCATAGAATTATTAGAAACTGTTTAAAATAATAAACAAAATGTGGAAAGAACAAAAGTGAATGACTGATTTCCATGTTTGCAAATGCATCTGCTTACAAGCTAAACAACAAAAATTATAGCTAACTTAACTTGGGAAAACTGAAGGTCTATTTTGAGGAATCAATCTTTCACCAGTACTGATTTTTCTTGCAAAGGATGTCTTCCTTTTTTGCTCTGGCTCAAAGCAGATGACACCGCCTTTTGAACACACTAGTACAGCTAGTATCTTAAAGTGACACCACCACCACCAGTCATCAAAGACCCTGAAAATTTTGTTAAACAGGGCTTCAAATGATCCTAGAAAGTAAATTTCAGATGAAAGCAAAACACATAAATGTCATCCCTTCTGCTCTGGTCCAGATGTAAGAACCATGATGAGGAGAATATATTGTCTTTTTAAATTAGTGAGGATATCACTGTGCAAGCCAAGCAGACACGAGGGACTGTAACACCACTTGTAACAGATGAATTACAGTCTTTCTTCAGATGAATTTTTCCAACCATAAATAGAGCGAAGTGGGAGTGGAATATGAGTAGAGTATAAGTGGTTTCCCAAACCCCACAGGCAGCACCAGAAGCCCTGGAGTCCTGAGAAATGCATCCATTGCAAATGCAATGCTATTAAATTGTGATTTAGAGTCTTTTCTAGTCCCCTTAGAGAAACTGGTCAGTATCTAAAGGCTGATATTACAAATTTCATTTCCTATTCCCAGAAACTATTTAATCTTATAATACTTTCCATTAAATTTAGAAAAGGAAAAAAGGGAAAAGTCACTGTCCTGGCCCTATGACAACTGCAGCTGTGAATCTTTCCCTTTGCATTAATTTAGGAAACAGAAGAATCAGGAAAGAATATCCTGACATTTTTAAATCTCAAAATATAATTTCATTTCAGTTCCAAAGTGATAGGAAGTATTTCCATGTGCAGCATATGCATGTTAAAAGTGAGGCCACAGTCTGAAAGTCAAAGGAATATTATTATGTGGGAAGCCTTACAGCTAATTTGTTTAGCAAATCTCTATATCCAAAATGGTACTGAAGTCTCATTTTTACTTCTAGAAAAAGGACAGATTATAAATATAACACATTAGAACATGATACCATCCACAGTATATGTTAAGAGGAAGTTCAAGAGATACGTTAATTAAGTGGGTAATGATCCCTCCTAGTAACTAATATATTATGCTTTCTACAATTTACTTATATCGCACAGGATCACATTATATATTTTATAAAAAACAGTACATTTTTAAAGAAGGACGTAACTTCTTTCATTACACATAATTGAAAAAAATAATCAAAATTCTGTTGTGATCAAACACCGAAAAAGTTTGAGGTCATGGCTGATTTAAGAGCATTGCTTTCATTGTGATTACTTATTTTTGGGTCACCTCTCTTTCATAGGCCTGGAGAAACATTCTACATCTGATGTCTGGAAAACTCTGAGTAGATTGCCTCAAAAAGCTTCAAGGTCCCTAATACAGTCTAATGTTTCTTTTTTCTGTGCAATGATTATTCTTTCTCTCTTTACCTCTTGAAGAGAAAACTGCAATGATTCTTCTAGGTCACTCCATGAAAGGTATGATCTCAGTTATATAAAGTTTGCTTTTTTTCATGTAGGACAAGGATGTAAGATTTGGAAACACAGGTGGCATGCAAGAGGGCAACCTGCTACTTCTTTCACATGGTAATAACAGGAATAAATGGAAATTTTGTTAAAGGTTGTGATTTGTGACAATATTATTTTCCATGTTTAACAGTTCTTCAGCAGGATAAGACACAAATCTTTAGTTTTTTTCTCTCCTTTATTTTACTGATTACAATGTTGTTGTATTGCATGGAAGAGGAACTATCCTGAGATAGAATTATATCAATTGTTTTGATTCAGGTACAGGTGAAGAGGAAATGTTAGGCTCAATGAGAGATTAAAAGCTGAAAAGCAAAGTAAATAACTGAGACATTAGTTGTGCTGAGCCCCATCCCAATGATCGCAGGTTGTATAGCTTAAAATTAACTTTGTTGTATTTTTAACATATACACATCGCAGCATAAGACAGTATAGGTGAGTGCTATTTAGAATTATATTCTGGGCCAAGGAAAATTAAATTCATTCTTTTAACACATAATACAATATCACCATATGTTCAAAGCCCAGACAATGTAGGCCACTCCAAAGTTTTATCCCCTGTCAAGGCGAGAACGGGAAACTGTAATGGATTTTTGTTCAGATCAGAGCTGATTTTATAACCTATCCCACTAAATGGCATTACATTCACATGACCTGATTTTACATAACAGAGTTATCATAACACAACTGACTGAACACAGAACCTTCATTTTGCAGTAGCAGACATATTTAGACCATCATTATTAACTGCACTATGCAGATTTTATGTTTCCCTGTGTCAGTGAAATTACTTGTATTCTTCTTTCCTTTTAAAACACATTAAAAGAACCTGATTGCTTATTTGTATATCTATGCTCCAAAATGACCCTTTAACTAAGATCGTACTGAAGCTGTCACCTAGAACATTGTTACAATCCTTCTATTTTCAGATGGTTTTTTTAGTAAATAAGGTCTTTGAATTCATCTGTCAGTACCATCTAATAACCGTCTAATTAGGTAGCCAGTTACAACAGGATATGACAAAAGTAGAGGCCTCAGAGATATCATGTTCCTGTATGTTTTGTAAAGACTGGTGGCTAGAAAGGAGGGGGGGACCCAGATCAGTGCCAATGCGGCTTAGGGATCGACTTGCCCTGCAGAAGCCCTTGTCAGCTTTCTATCACTAGGTAAGTCAGTCAGTTCATGGGTAGGTCTAAACATGCCACAACAAGTGGTGCCTAATATGACAGGCAAAGAATGTGTCATGAAGTTGTTACGGCTAGCATATTATTTCTCAGCTAGTTTTATTTCAAGGATTTCTTAGCCATTTCAAAAAAATACCTTCCTCTTGCGCAGGACAGCCAAAGAGTATTTTTTTACTTTTTTTTCCTTTATCGCTAAGCTAAAACTAGTGTCAGCTCTGAATTTTAGTTGACTGCCTCTGTTTACCCAATTTTGTGTGAACATTTGCTTGCATACTGCAGTGGGTTGACCCTGGCTGTATGCTGGGTACTTACTATAGCCACTCTCTCACTACCCTATGCAACTGGACAGAGGAGAGAGAAAAAAACAGTGAAGGATTCATGAGTTAAGAGATGGGAGAGGTCACTGATCCACAATCACGGGCAAAACAGACTCAAAATGGATGTTAGTTGAATTTATTACTAACAGGGTCAGAGCAAAAGAGTGAGAAGTAAAATAATCTTAAAAACACCTTCCCCTCACCCTCCTTCCTTCCATGTTTTCCCTCCTCCCCCAGTGGTGCAGGGGGATGGAGGAATGGGGGTTACAGTCAGTTGTTGTTTCTGCCTCTCCTCAGGGAGAGGAGTCCTTCCCCTGCTCCCACGGGATCCCTCCCATGGGAGACAGTCCTTGATGGACCTCTCTAGCATGAGTCCATCCCTCAGGCAGCAGGTCTTCCCAAACTGCTGTCCCGTGGGTCACTCCTCCATGGGGTGCAGTCCTTCATGAATGAGCTGTACCGACGTGGGTCCCCCACGGGGGCCACAAGTCCTACCCAGAAAAAACCCATTCCAGCATGGTCTCCTTTCTCCACAAGATGCCACGGTCTCTGTCCTGTCCTTCTCCACGGTCCTGTCTCTGGCAGGACCCTGTTCCGTCTTGGGCCTCCCATGGGGTCACAACCTCCTTTGGATATCCACCTGCTCCAGCATGAGTTCCTCCATGGGCTGCAGGTGGGTCTCTGCACCCCAATGGTCCTTCATGGGCTGCAGGGGCCTCAGCTCTGGTGCCTGGAGCACCTCCTGCTCCTCCTTCTGCACTGACCTCTGTGTCTACACTGTTCTTCACATGTTCTCGCTCCGCTCTTCCCTGACTGGAATTCTTTCTGTGCCAGAACCTTCTGTTCTTAAATATGTTATCACAGAGGTGTTACTATCACTCCTAATTGGCTTAGCCTTGGCCAGTGACAGGAAGCCTGTCCTGGAGTTGACTGGCGTTGGCTCCACGGGACAGGGGAAACCTCTAGCAGCTTCTAACAGAAGCCACCTCTGTAGCCCCTCCCTGGTACCAAAACCCAGTCACAGAAACCCACTACACATATGTAAGAGTTTTGCAGTATTTTTTCAGGGTTTTTATTGGAAATTGTCTGGATTTCTGTGGACTATTAGTGGCTCAAGGATCACCAGTTGCAAAACACTAATTCAGGAACCCTGGGGTATGGAAGGATGGGAGGTATCAGAAAAGAGGCTTTCAGGTCTGCAGAAAGACATAAGGAAACGAGTAAGCAGAATATAGAGGAAAAAACTGCAATAGTGGGTTAGTAAGAGATGAAAATCAGAAAATACAGATTCATGAGATTCATGAGAATTCTTCCATCCCGGTGTTCTAACACAATCTTTTAACATGGTTTTTAGTATTAAGTTTTGGTTTAGGGAGGAACAGATCTTACTACTTTTGTCAATGAAATTTCTAATTTATTTTTATTATTTTTTTTTTTAGTTTCTTATTAGATTTTGAATTGGTCAGAGCTCCATAGAACATGTTCCAACTGACGCCAATGGCAGAATGTCTCTTGATGCTCATGGGAGCTGCACTGGATCAGCCTTGTATCCTTTCCACATGCTTACTGTATTTCAGGTTTCCCTGGTCAAAAATGCTGCATCACTCTGCACATCTTATTTCTGTTAGTAAAAAAAGTAAATCCATGTGACTATTTAAAATTAAGAATAAAATGGATTTTCCCTACCTTGCTTTTTTGAGGCAATGCCAAGGCTAAAATTTCATTCTGAGTGTCTAAAAGGTTATGTGCAAGGTCCATACAGTAGGTTGGACAGTACATGACATTAATTTCTTGTCACTGAAGTGTAACATTATTAATATGTGCTGAACATGGTGTCTGACAGAGAACACTGGCCACAGCCAGACAGCATGAAAGGTCCTTTAGAAAGAAAATGTTTTAGCAAATGTCCTTACTGAGCATTAAAGAATACTGAAGTAAAGAGAGTCTGTGCTGTGAGGTTAGTGGGAAAGGGACATTTTGGTGAAAAACAAGACTAGATCCACTATTTTCCTCATGTTATATGTCTAAACACATATCAGTTGGAAGATTTGCTTAATTGGAATGTTAATATCAATTACCAAAAACCACTTGGATCAAGTAAAATATTTTTCCTTCTCATAGTTGGTCTTGGATTAACATCCACTGACTTAGTAATGTCCACCTAAAGTCTTGTGAAGAACAAGTCAGATAAAGGATTGAATTCACGTGTTACTTCTCCCCATTGTTTAAAAAGCCTCACTAGACAACAAGTTAAAATAAATAAATAAAGAAATCCAGAAGGGCATTTTAAGAGCTGGACAAGTCATTTGATAGTGTATGCTATAGTTTCTTTCTTTTCTGACCATGCATAAATAATCTTGTGAATTTGCAGTTTAGATAGCGTAAGTTGTCTAACAAAAGTACAGTTACTCATGAATAATTTGGATTTCAATGTGTGTGTGAAGAAAATGGTTCAACACAAGGCTTTTTGTATTAAAGCCATCTGTGACTCACAGTATCATCATACATAATATGGGTCATTGTGTGAAAGCAGTAGTGCATGAAAGGCCATGGAAATGGCATATGAAAAGCCACTTCAGGATGCCATGCACAGTTTCTGGAAACGCTAATGATATCAGGTTTGAGGAACAGTGATGTGCTTACAAATCCTACTGGTGTTGGAATCAGCTGTCTTTTCCATACTTAATATAGTTGTACATGAAATTTTGGTGCATTGTAATGACGTTATTAGCACGAGTTTTTTACTTGGGTATGAGAAAGATGTGAGTCATGCAGCTTCTCCAAAAGAGAGCAGAAGAAATGTTGATAGCATATTAATATGCATTCTGTATTCATGATATGTATTCCAGAAAAAATGTTGCTTTGAGGTATGGTAGGGTGTCCTTAAGAATTATGTTGAACAGTTTTTTCTTATCTGTTTCTGCCCATCAGTATTTTATAAACGAATATTGGAGTCCATTAAAATCACATATAAAACTCATTGATTTCAACAGTTCCACATTTTATCCTGTATGTTCTGAAGTATTTTATCCTCTAAGTCTCCCAAAGAGGAGACATAAACACATTTGAAACCTAAAATAGATTTTATGCACAAAATTAATAATTTACATATAAAGAAATATTGTCTTCTTCTTCCATAGCTTTTTACACATGAATTTGAAAAACTTTGCAAGTCTGCATAAATATATCCATGAAAGTTTGACTGCAGATTATATAAAGATTCCTCCATTTTGACACAAATCAAATTAATCTTCTTTGAATCTTCACTGAAATGATGATGCTAGGCTAAATAAATCTCTTTGAATTCTCATTAACTGTTAGTACAGCTGATTCTTTGACTGGTTCATTAGCATGCTTGGTGGCATATGCTCAAAAAGAAGAAAAAGAAGGAAAAAAGAACTCTACAATTTAATACAAAACAGAACAAAGCTGTAGATTTCGGTCTTTGTCTTGTACACACTATAAGGTACATGGAGCAATGGTCTAACTTAAACATTGCATGAGGTTCTTCTGAATTACCATTCAAATTGATTCCTAACTTTGACAAAGTATAACTTAATTACTCAGCTGCATATAGATTTTCATCTACCAAACTCAGTTAAAACTATGGAGAAAAAAAGTGGTAATATATCCGTAGTATAATATTAACACATAGATACCAGTAGCTAAGTTTGCTTCTTTAGAATAGAAGAACATACTTCAGCTTTAATGATTCTTAGAAACAAAAGGAAAAGTCAGGTCTTTATCCCATGAACATCTCAGTGAGATAATTTTACATTCATCTTTCAAGAATGGGAAATTCTCATCCAGTTGCCTGTCAGTCACACAGATATGTTCAAATTATTATCTACTAAAGAAAATACATAATACGGATAAAACACTACTATATTTAATAATCAATTATCCTCTGAAAAGCTATATAACTTAGATGAATTGTAACTGTATTTAGCAGAACTCAGAAGAAAGAAATGCACAAGACCAAGAAGAAAATGGAACAATCAGCAGCCATTTTCCACATTACATGTCAACAACAGTAAAACTGCACAAAGATTTCTGCATTCCATTTCCATAATCTAATATTGCTCCACAGAATGAGTTCAGTTCCCTGGCTTGTGGCAAAGGTGGGTGGAATTTCCAAGAGGTCTCCATTTACATAAAGACCCTGCACAGCCAGACTGAGCATCTGTGATTGAACGTGATGGGATGCACCACACCAAGCACAGCCACGGGCAACAAACTGCCTGAGTAGTCTTTTAGGAGAACAGACTACTATATTATTTTATCTATCATTAATAAGTTTCACTATAAGCATAATGCCTGCTGTCATGTTTCTTGAATTTCATGAGCTAATCCAAGTTGCTTCTTCTTATTATACAACTGTACGTCAATACAATCCTAAAGACTGCTTCAGGATGTCTCTTACAGCTTCCCATTATTTATGAAGTGTCACAGAAAACCATTCCAAAGGCATGTCTAGATGTAGAGAAGACCTAGGATTTATTGGCTCTTCCCAGCTCAAAGAGAGGAAAACTACTCATTGTAGGGATTTCTTCACTGTAAAGGTGAAAAGCTAAAATCCACACGGCAAATAACCTTGCGTTGTTATTCCTAATAATAGTATCTTGGAAAACAGCTACAGCTTTATGTTATTTTCTTTTTGTGATAATCAGAAAATTCCTTGTCCTCCCAGTTCCCAGAGCGATGCCCAGAGTGATTTCTGGCAGAGATGGAGTTCAGTTCCCTTTCCTTCTGGGTACCCAGAAGGCTCCCTCTGTCCATTCATATCAGTGCTCATACTTCAAATACCTCTCATACAAGCTACTGTCCTAACTGAGATGAAAAGCCCAGGATAATGGGATAAAAGCTTTATTTCATGGACTTTTCCAACCTAAGCATATTCTGAAAGTTATGCATTAAGAAGTTGACTTTCTTTTCCTCTTTCTTTTTTATCCTTACCTCAGGGTAAAGTGAGGAACAGCAGCCACACTGAAGGGAAGTGAGAGCAGTGTACCAAGCTCTGTAGAAACAGAAAGGAAACAGTAGATCATTTCAACGAGAGTAGTATGTCTTGGCGTCGTTCCTTAACACCACCCCCGTCATCCCAGCCTCCTCTGCCCCTCCCACACTCATGAATCTAAAAAGCAGATGGAAAATATTCTGCCAGAAGACATTGAAATACAGTGTTAGAAAGTTACTCTCCTAAGGCTGGAGAAAGTGATGGAGAGCTCTGGCAGGCAAATTAAATTATTCATAGTCAGTGGCATTTTGGAAGGAAAAGCAGGAAGGGAATAAGAGACTGAAAGAAGTTATAGGGATTGTACAAGAGCCATCTGCGATGTGGGAAAAAGATGCACTTCAGCTTGGTACACTTCAGAGAGAGACCTGTGGGGCTAATATTGAGTTAGAGAGACATTACCAGTCTTCCCAGTTTGTTTCTGGAGCTGAGCATACTCTAATATTGCCATGACATTAGGGTTATGACAGAGCAAACACTGCCAGATCTATCTGCCTCAAATTGACTCTACATTCCACTGCCACTGAGCAATGATGCTCAGATACAGTAGTTACTGTAATTTACTCAGCTACTGTGTCACTTTGTACACATACCAGTCTCATTTGGATTCTAAAGGTGTGACATGGAGAAGAAGTGCTGATCGGTGTCATTCTCAGTATTTCAGTGATGAAACTTTTCTTTAAAAAATATTTTTTCCCAGTTCATGTTCCCTTATGTCTCTAAAAGATTACAGGACCTGTTCTCACAAGAACTAAGCTACTCTACATTCAAATTAAAAGGTGCCATTTCTTGATATGTCTCACAAAGAAACTGTATTGCATATTATAGAGTAATTATATCTATAAATTCCCCCAGTTCCATCCCCTAACTCCTGCATGGGGATAGAAGGGAGGAGAGGAAAAAAAAAACCATGTGTGAGAGAGAATAGACTCCACAATCAGTGTTTTTATGAACATATTGACATGCCATAGTGATGAGGACAGGGGGTCAACTTGGAAAAGGTATTTTTCTGTTCTGTTACTTCTTCTGAATTTACACATATGATGTTGCCAAATCTAGTGACCTGAAGGAATTGTTACACAATGAAATGTTTCAGTATCTGGTTGCATGTTACTATAATATTATTTTCAGCATTCAGATTATTTAGACCAATGGTTTTGGTTATAAATCACTTAATAAATTTTGGATACAAATGGAAAAATTATAAAGAAAACAACAATAATCAATATGAAGCACCAGAAAGGAATCAGTTGGGAAAAGGTACATGGTTGTCAGTAGGAATGTTAGGCATGTGAGCCCATGTGTAGATAAACACCACGCAGATTGCTTGTTTAAACATTCTTCTTTTTAATTTTTGCCTGAGGGGCACTGAATTTCTCTCAAGACTGATGGCATAATTGTGTTTGCTACTTGAGGTAGTTCTTCCACAGGAAAACCATTCAAATTATCATTCCAAAATGATGTTCCATTAAAACAAATATTGAATAGTATTTTCGCTGTGAATTTGCACAAATATTTGCCAAAAGAAGTCTGAGCGGTATGTCTAAAAAAAATAGAAAACCTAGTCATTTCACAAGAATAAAGATATTTTAAAATATAAATTTCTTTCTGTTAATCCTAAAACAATAGTTTCTTGAGGTGGGAAAAAAAAACAAAACCAAAAAAATATTTAACACTCAAAAATCACAAGTGACCACAAGGATTTCAAGTAAGAATAAGTTGTGATATAAACGCAGTTAGAAAGGAATATGCACCTAAATTTCCCAATTAATTTTTTGGATGAGTACTTGGGGAGTCAAAATTAGCTGTTGCTTAATTTATTACCAAAATATGAAATGCGTGCCTGTCCATTCTACTAAAACAGCTTTATATACTGTTTTAGCATATAAACTCACACATATAAACAGACATGTGGCATGCAAACGCCATTCACAGGTTGAAATAAAGATAATATTGTTTGGCTGGCAGAATATATTTATAAACCCTATTAATTCTTAATCTGTGTGCACATCTAGTGTCCTTAACTGGCAGTCCATGCTCAGGACCTGCAAAGCAGTCTTTATGTCAGGGCACAGCTGCCATTCACTGATACAGAGAACATTGCAGCGTAAATCTTTCAACATGCCAATTTTTTTTTCCTCAAAATATAATTTTCAGATAAATAACAAAAATTGTTTATTATGTTTGCAGTAGCATTATCTTGCGTGAGGTAAGCAGAAGCTCTGGGTAGGCTGCCTAGCTGGAATTCTATGGAAGTTAAAAACATCACTAAAAAGGGCAAAGCTGGGCTTCTGCTTTCTGCTTGCCAAATTTTCTCCAAGTGGAAGAAAAAGATGAAATTCTGCCAATGTGTGATAGGGGGATGGACCTCTGAAGGTGGATCCTGGGAGCTGTTGGTCAAGACAAATTAAGACAAAAAAATTTGGTGAGAGCTGAAGGAAAAAGGTTTCTGGGGAAGAAAAGACAGGATAAGCAGATGGTCCACCTGCTTAGGATGCCTGCAGCAGGTACCTGTGTTAGACATTGAGAAAGTGTCTCTGTGTGAGTATCTCTTCTTATCTCACTCCAAGTGGTCTCATATCCACAAAGCATGGGAACAACCTCAGAGGGCAGAGTGGTTTTGTGTCCTACATGCTGCCTAGCCATCACGGCAGCACTGTGCTGGATTATATTGCCAAGAGAACAACCCTGTAGGTACCCTGGCAACCTTCATTTTGATGATAGCAGGTTTGCTAGAAGGGCAAGAGAATGAGAACTTTAGGCTCACCTGGATGCCATTGTGCTTTATAGAAGTGGAGTGTGGGAGACAAGATTTTCCAAGTCACAATCAGGATGATTGATTCCTCTCTCATCCAAAGGTGCCCTCTGCTGAAAGAGTTGGGAGGAGCGAAAGAGCTGAGACTGCAGCAAGGTCTGATTCTGGTTGCAGAATCATGTTGCAACTGCCTCTTTTGGTAAAGATTTTGGTTTGGCATTTAAATGATATTAAGGCTTAGTGCCTGCAGCAGGATTTGGACTTATTCAGATTGGATACACAGGTAGGGATTTTTGTCATTAGAGAGTGGGGCTCAGCAGCTTCCCGATGAAGGAAAACAAATCTTCTGTTGCTAGAGTCACAGGAAAATAATTGTACAGAGACAGTGCTGAAGAAGGCAAGGACCCTGAATCTCAGAATATGGTTACAAGAATGGATTTCAAACTATTACTGTCATGTGTAGTTCTGAGATTCACTGGCAAAAGATTCAGCTTTTCCAGGTTAATACATATATAGAGAGTTTGAAGTAGTATATTTGCTCAAAAAAATAGACAAACCTTTAAATATTTCCTCCTAAGTATAATGAAAAAAATCCAGTGAGTTGTCACCTTGAGTTTAGTTAGGCAATTCTGCCTAAACCCAGCAGTGCTTAAGGTTCTCTATGGATAAAACTCAGAATCACAATATAATCAAGGGGAAAAGAAGGGGACCTCTGGAGAGCTCTAGTTTAAGACCTTACTCAGAACAGGGTCAGTTCTGAGATCACAACAGGTTGCTCAGCTCTTCATTCAGCTGGATCTTGAAACCTCCAATGCAAGTGTGGAGCCTCTCTGGGACACTACCTGGAGAAACAGCTTCTCCTTTTATCCAGCATGAAACTCTTCTGTTTCATTTTATGCCTCTTCTGCCTTTCAACCCTGTGAAGAGCCCATCTCCACCTTCTTATAGGTACAGGGGGGACACTCCTCTCCAGTTTAACCAAGCCCCAATGCTTCAGCCTCTCCTTGGCATTTTTTCCAATAAGCAAGTATTTCTGAGACTTCTGTGCCCTGGCAAACAGGGTCAGAATTGACCAGTGTGTTCAGAATTCATTAAAGGAAACTGATGAAGAAACCTTCAGATGAACAGAGTGGGACAAATCCTTTTAGAAACCTAGCTTGCAGATAAAAGAGGGAATAAAAAGGATCTTCCCTGGCTAATGTTGCCAGGTTATTCAAAACAGATGAATCAGATTAGATCTGAAGCTTCTAAAAATTCTGGGCAGTGCTTAAGGAACACCATGAAGATAGAAATAAAGCAAAACAGCATGTCAAAATACAGTTATGGGAATATAATCTGCTTGACCCTGAAGCAGTCATTTTGATAAAAGTCCAACTAAAAATGTTTTCATGGAAGCTAACTTTAGTGTAGTGAGGCTAATCATCTCCGCAGTCACCAGAGAGAAACAGGATCCCATAATGGTCCTACATGCTTCACTGCTCCTGCCCA